GGTATCTTAACGGTAAGTGTACAGTGGGGCACTGTGTTCTGGTACTGTCGGGTATCTTAACGGTAAGTGTACAGTGGGGCACTGTGTTGTGGTACTGTCGGGTATCTTAACGGTAAGTGTTCAGTGGGCACTTTGTTCTAGTACTGTCGGGTATCTTAACGGTAAGTGTACAGTGGGTCACTGTGTTGTGTTACTGTCGGGTATCTTAACGGTAAGTGTTCAGTGGGGCACTTTGTTGTGGTACTGTCGGGTATCTTAACGGTAAGTGTACAGTGGGGCACTTTGTTGTGGTACTGTCGGGTATCTTAACGGTAAGTGTTCAGTGGGGCACTGTGTTGTGGTACTGTCGGGTATCTTAACGGTAAGTGTACAGTGGGGCACTGTGTTGTGGTACTGTCGGGTATCTTAACGGTAAGTGTACAGTGGGGCACTGTGTTGTGGTACTGTCGGGTATCTTAACGGTAAGTGTTCAGTGGGGCACTGTGTTGTGGTACTGTCGGGTATCTTAACGGTAAGTGTTCAGTGGGGCACTGTGTTGTGGTACTGTCGGGTATCTTAACGGTAAGTGTTCAGTGGCCGGGCACTGTGTTGTGGTACTGTCGGGTATCTTAACGGTAAGTGTTCAGTGGAGCACTTTGTTGTGGTACTGTCGGGTATCTTAACGGTAAGTGTATAGTGGGGCACTGTGTTGTGGTACTGTCGGGTATCTTAACGGTAAGTGTTCAGTGGGGCACTGTGTTCTGGTACTGTCGGGTATCTTAACGGTAAGTGTTCAGTGGGGCACTTTGTTGTGGTACTGTCGGGTATCTTAACGGTAAGTGTTCAGTGGCCGGGCACTGTGTTGTGGTACTGTCGGGTATCTTAACGGTAAGTGTTCAGTGGGGCACTGTGTTGTGGTACTGTCGGGTATCTTAACGGTAAGTGTTCAGTGGAGCACTTTGTTGTGGTACTGTCGGGTATCTTAACGGTAAGTGTATAGTGGGGCACTGTGTTGTGGTACTGTCGGGTATCTTAACGGTAAGTGTTCAGTGGCCGGGCACTGTGTTGTGGTACTGTCGGGTATCTTAACGGTAAGTTTTCAGTGGGGCACTGTGTTGTGGTACTGTCGGGTATCTTAACGGTAAGTGTACAGTGGAGCACTTTGTTGTGGTACTGTCGGGTATCTTAACGGTAAGTGTTCAGTGGGGCACTGTGTTGTGGTACTGTCGGGTATCTTAACGGTAAGTGTACAGTGGGGCACTGTTTCCAAATCAGCCAAAAACAAACAAAATCTTAAATCTGCGAAATAGGAAAAGATTAAAGTTAAAACTTGTGGATATGATTAATTTTTTTAACCTCAAACAAGTCAATTTCATAATACACTAAAAACTAAAACAGAAATATTATTATTATTAGGACCTACTTCTCACTAACTAATCATATATCAAGACAATAAAACTATCGGACTACGATGTATGGGGACTTGCCACCCCATGGAAACATTAAAATATATTCACTCTGTTATATTGTTTCCTCAAACTATTTGATATATGTGTTGAAGTATTAAAACTGCTTAGTACTTATCACTTATAGTAGTAGTAAACCCGCGATGGGGTGGCATGTGCCTCAATAAAAATATTGCAAAAATTTGTTATTATATCAATTTATCATTAAATATTTCAACAATATCAATAACTTATGGTTGATCCTTCACACTTAGTAAAATATATTAAAAAAAGTTAATCTACACTAAAGAATAAATAATTTATATTATATAAATCAATTATATTATCTCCCCATCTTCTCATAGTCATTTTATCAAAGCGGTAAAAATCCAAGTATTTTTTAATACGCGGTGCGCAAGGAATTTCGTTGGAAAAAAAAGAAAAAAAAAGAAAGTATGTTTGCAGGTGAGGTACCCACCTACACATGGTTCACATTCAGTGAAGGAGGAGGATCAGTGCAAATAACAACAGGGTTAAGTGACTTTGGGAGGACTCTAGCGGTCACCACGACAAGCTCTCAATCTTACTCTTGTAGATCTTGCTTGGGTGATTCCTGTCAGAGCAGCGCTGTTACTGCTAGTGTTACACCAGGTAAACCGTTACTGCTAGTGTTACACCAGGTAAACCGTTACTGCTAGTGTTACACCAGGTAAACCGTTACTGCTAGTGTGACACCAGGTAAACCGTTACTGCTAGTGTTACACCAGGTAAACCGTTACTGCTAGTGTTACACCAGGTAAACCGTTACTGCTAGTGTTACACCAGGTAAACCGTTACTGCTAGTGTTACACCAGGTAAACCGTTACTGCTAGTGTGACACCAGGTAAACCGTTACTGCTAGTGTGACACCAGGTAAACCGTTACTGCTAGTGTTACACCAGGTAAACCGTTACTGCTAGTGTTACACCAGGTAAATTACCGTTACTGCTAGTGTTACACCAGGTAAACCGTTACTGCTAGTGTTACACCAGGTAAACCGTTACTGCTAGTGTTACACCAGGTAAACCGTTACTGCTAGTGTTACACCAGGTAAACCGTTACTGCTAGTGTTACACCAGGCAAACCGTTACTGCTAGTGTTACACCAGGTAAACCGTTACTGCTAGTGTTACACCAGGCAAACCGTTACTGCTAGTATTACACCAGGTAAACCGTTACTGCTAGTGTTACACCAGGTAAACCGTTACTTAATAGACCACTATTTGATATTACATAACAAACCGGCTAAAATAATATAATACGGGGAAGTGAAAATGCAATTAACTAGAAAACATTCAAATGTAAAAATGAAATAACGCTGAAATGGTAACCATGGTAACGAAATGTCCCTCTCAGCTGCTACTAAGATAAAGTTCACTGCTGTTCCAGCAGACTACTACCTTCACGAGGATGGAGTGACACAGGGAGCTATATCTCTTACTTGCACTACTAATCTAGGAGAGGTTTGTAGTAAAACATCAAATAAAACAGGCGGGAGACACTGCACGTGATGCCCTTATAAGGAGACATGATATATCAAACTTTAGTTTTGAGATGACGTAACTTTAGCTTTTTTTTGGTTCCTTCTAATTTCGTCGACCTTTTAATTAAAGAAAATGTATTGTTATTTATGATTGAGACATTAACCCAAGATTTGGTTACAGGGTAACTGGATCAAGAACGGTGTTTCTGTCTCATTCCCTATAGACCAGCCCAACCCAGCTCATTCTGGAATATACCAGTGTTATGTGAAAAACAGTGACTCCTGGCTCATGAAGTCTACTCAAGTCCTCGTTACTGGTGCGTTATAGGGACACTTAGCAGTTATAGCTTTATAGGGAAACTTAGTTGAGTGTAATGATAGTGGAAGTGAAATGTAGAAATTTTAGCGCTAGATAACATCAAGCGCTAATAACACAACAGTACATTAAAAAATAAATACATTTCAGAAAAGTTGTCAGTGACAAATAACACAACAGTACATTAAAAGATAAATACATTTCAGAAAAGTTGTCAGTGTCAGTGACAAAAAACACAACAGTACATTAAAAGATAAATACATCTCAGAAAAATTGTCAGTGTCAGTGACAAATAACACAACAGTACTTTAAAAGATAAATACATTTCAGAAAAGTTGTCAGTGTCAGTGACGGCCCCAAGTGAGCTGAACACTACTACTAAAGGATCTGTTTCTTGTACAGTGGGTGGCTACCCAGCTCCTGAGGTAACCATCTTCAAAACAGATCTCAACAAGGACGACACAGTGAGTACATTATAAGCTTGGTGACACGTTTTTGCTAGTGTTGGGGACACGTTTTTGCTAGTAATTGGGAGCAAGTTTTTGCTAGTATTTGGGAGCACGTTTATGCTAGTAGTTGGGGCACGTTTTTGCTATTAGTTGGGGACGGATTTTTGCTAGTATTTGGGATCAAGTTTTTGCTAGTATTTGGGAGCACGTTTATGCTAGTAATTGGGGCACGTTTTTGCTAGTAGTTGGGGCACGTTTTTGCTAGTAGTTGGGGCACGTTCTTGCTAGTAGTTGGGCACGTTTTTTAGCAGTTGGGGCATGTTTTTGCTAGTACTTGGGGGCACGTTTTAGTTGGCGACGTTACTTTATGGCTATCTTTGCGACATGATATGGATCAGATTAGAGTTATCATAAAGAGGTTGGAAAATAGATTTGCCTTCACTCAAAATACCATGATTTCCTGTAATGTAGTTTAATTATATCACTTTACTTTAATTATAAACCTCCCAGAACATGGTAGCGTGTGCAGTAGACAAGGCAGATAAAACAAATTGTATTGAACGCAGTGGAAACTCTTACTCGGTTGAAATTGATCACAGTGATCTTGAGTCGTCGGGTAAGGGAGTGTTTTTTATTTGAAAATTCAATTAATTATTATATATATAAATCGAGCGTTATATTTCAACCATGCAAAATTACGATGACATATTTTGATATACTAATTGATAAATGGTACTGCAATATAAGTTGCTTAATGTTTGGCCGGATGACAACTAACAAGAAATCAAACATATCATAAATAATTATAAATATTTTGCTCATTACAATTCTGTAACAACTGAGAACAAAAAAAACAGTATGTTGAGAACTTTCCAATACTTTTATAAATGATAATTAAAAACATGACGTTATAAAGCAATGAAATGGGTTATAATATAGTTCTTATGTTCCTCGCAGTAACTCTATTATTACACCACACCAGGGACATACACGTGTAAAGTTCACCACAAGTACAGGCTATCAGATGGGTCAGCTGTTGAGAAAGCTGACGAGAAGTCTGCTCCTGTTGCTATAGGTTTGATAAAACGGAGCTCTTATAGATGCTACTTGAACTAACATCATTCAAGTCTGTTATAGGGTAGCACTTATAAATGCCAATTATTGAAACCTCGAAGAATACAATAGAATGTTGAAACAATTTGGATGGTAAAATATTAGTGTACTTATATGGCAATACTCAATGCCCAATTATGTACGCATTGAAATACATATTCAGCAAAGTTTCCTCCTTTAGTTTACTCCTTCTCCTTCTTTAGTGTCCCCAGTGGATGTGTACTCCTTAACCACCACTCCTTCTTTAGTGTCCCCAGTGGATGTGTACTCCTTAACCACCACTCCTTCTTTAGTGTTCCCAGTGGATGTGTACTCCTTAACCACCACTCCTTCTTTAGTGTCCCCAGTGGATGTGTACTCCTTAACCACCACTCCTTCTTTAGTGTTCCCAGTGGATGTGTACTCCTTAACCACCACTCCTTCTTTAGTGTCCCCAGTGGATGTGTACTCCTTAACCACCACTCCTTCTTTAGTGTCCCCAGTGGATGTGTACTCCTTAACCACCACTCCTTCTTTAGTGTCCCCAGTAGATGTGTACTCCTTAACCACCACTCCTTCTTTAGTGTCCCCAGTGGATGTATACTCCTTAACCACCACTCCTTCTTTAGTGTCCCCAGTGGATGTGTACTCCTTAACCACCACTCCTTCTTTAGTGTCCCCAGTAGATGTGTACTCCTTAACCACCACTCCTTCTTTAGTGTCCCCAGTGGATGTATACTCCTTAACCACCACTCCTTCTTTAGTGTTCCCAGTGGATGTGTACTCCTTAACCACCACTCCTCCTTTAGTGTCCCCAGTGGATGTGTACTCCTTAACCACCACTCCTCCTTTAGTGTCCCCAGTAGATGTGTACTCCTTAACCACCACTCCTTCTTTAGTGTCCCCAGTGGATGTATACTCCTTAACCACCACTCCTTCTTTAGTGTCCCCAGTGGATGTGTACTCCTTAACCACCACTCCTTCTTTAGTGTCCCCAGTGGATGTGTACTCCTTAAGCACCACTCCTTCTTTAGTGTCCCCAGTGGATGTGTACTCCTTAACCACCACTCCTTCTTTAGTGTCCCCAGTGGATGTGTACTCCTTAACCACCAATCCTTCTTTAGTGTCCCCAGTGGATGTGTACTCCTTAACCACCACTCCTTCTTTAGTGTCCCCAGTGGATGTGTACTCCTTAACCACCACTCCTTCTTTAGTGTCCCCAGTGGATGTGTACTCCTTAACCACCACTCCTTCTTTAGTGTTCCCAGTGGATGTGTACTCCTTAACCACCACTCCTTCTTTAGTGTTCCCAGTGGATGTGTACTCATTAACCACCACTCCTTCTTTAGTGTTCCCAGTGGATGTGTACTCCTTAACCACCACTCCTTCTTTAGTGTTCCCAGTGGATGTGTACTCATTAACCACCACTCCTTCTTTAGTGTCCCCAGTGGATGTGTACTCCTTAACCACCACTCCTTCTTTAGTGTCCCCAGTGGATGTGTACTCCTTAACCGCCACTCCTTCTTTAGTGTCCCCAGTGGATGTGTACTCCTTAACCACCACTCCTTCTTTAGTGTCCCCAGTGGATGTGTACTCCTTAACCACCACTCCTTCTTTAGTGTCCCCAGTGGATGTGTACTCCTTAACCACCACTCCTTCTTTAGTGTTCCCAGTGGATGTGTACTCCTTAACCACCACTCCTTCTTTAGTGTCCCCAGTGGATGTGTACTCCTTAACCACCACTCCTTCTTTAGTGTCCCCAGTGGATGTGTACTCCTTAACCACCACAACTGGAGAGTTACAGTACGGAAGTGAAGCTACCTTTACCTGTAGTGTTAGGGGAGGCAGAGCTCCTTACAAAGTTGAGATGAAGGTTAGTTAATATATTTAACTGTCAGTTTTATTACATGATCTGTATCTTGGTTCCTTTTCTCAAAAAACTGCAGAAGGAGAACGCTCTTCAGTAACCAGCACAACAATCCTGTCATGTATATGTTCATATACGAATTTATATATCTATCATATTGTGATCTCCTGATATCTTCAGTTTGGTAGTACTTTGGTATACGTGTTCAGCAACAATGACAACGAGCAGAGTCAGGGGGACGGAAAGTGTGTGGGAGATTACGTGAAGACTTGCTTCGGTAGGTTTTGAAATCTGGTTTAATATTATGTTTATTATATTTATAAAGTTATAAGCAGCCATGACAACCATGATGGTACGATTCAACGTTTTTAAATAAAATTATAATATATAAATTTGGCTAATTTTGGTAAACAGTTTTAATTCCTAAATCAAATGGCCAATCGTTTTATTTCAGGTAAAGTTTCGAGCGTAAACTACAATCACGAGGGAGAACTGAGCTGTACAGGTTACAACGTGGCGGGTAACTTGACTACATTCTCAGATTCAGAGAGCCTCACAACCACTGTCTGTAAGTAATACTTTATATTACTTATAAATACTCGCGTCATAACACGTGCACTCGCGTCACAACACGTGCACAACACGTGCACATCACAATTCACAAAACAAGTGCGCTGATGTACAAAGTGAGTAATGACATCATACCACCTGACCAAATTGTCGAAATCTTTACCCGCAATTGAAAACTGAATAGTTAATTGGATATGATGATTGTGGTGATAGTTTCAAATGGTGTGTAACTGTGTCTGATCTTCTTAATGAGACTGCAATATTTGTGATAAAGTCTAAGCTTAATCTTATTGTGTGATAGTGGAAACAATCAACATCCACGCCACCATCATGTAACCATGCCCCCACTCAACCTACAAAATTCGACGAGGATGGGATTCGAACCCACGCGGGCATTGCCCAATGGATTAGCAGTCCATCGCCTTAACCACTCGGCCACCTCGTCCTCATTTAGAACCATATTTTCAATTTATTTTAAGCCGCCATCATGTAACCATGCCCCCATTAAGCCAACAAAATTCGACGAGGATGGGTTCGAACCCACGCGGGCATTGCCCAATGGATTAGCAGTCCATCGCCTTAACTACTCGGCCACCTCGTCCTCATTTAGAACCACATTTTCAATTTATTTTAAGCCGCCATCATGTAACCATGCCCCCATTAAGCCAACAAAATTCGACGAGGATGGGATTCGAACCCACGCGGGCATTGCCCAATAGATTAGCAGTCCATCGCCTTAACCACTCGGCCACCTCGTCCTCATTTAGAACCACATTTTCAATTTATTTTATGCCGCCATCATGTAACCATGCCCCCATTAAGCCAACAAAATTCGACGAGGATGGGATTCGAACCCACGCGGGCATTGCCCAATGGATTAGCAGTCCATCGCCTTAACCACTCGGCCACCTCGTCCTCATTTAGAACCACATTTTCAATTTATTTTAAGCCGCCATCATGTAACCATGCCCCCATTAAGCCAACAAAATTCGACGAGGATGGGATTAAATTCGAACCCACGCGGGCATTGCCCAATGGATTAGCAGTCCATCGCCTTAACCACTCGGCCACCTCGTCCTCATTTAGAACCACATTTTCAATTTATTTTAAGCCGCCATCATGTAACCATGCCCCCATTAAGCCAACAAAATTCGACGAGGATGGGATTCGAACCCACGCGGGCATTGCCCAATGGATTAGCAGTCCATCGCCTTAACCACTCGGCCACCTCGTCCTCATTTAGAACCACATTTTCAGCCCGGTCTACCTTTGTGCAAGTATCTGGAGATTTCTTCCCCCTCAATAACGCTGACTTGATCCTGACTTGTACCCATTATGAGAGGCCACTTTCTTTCGACCACACTGATGTCACTTGGTATCAGGTATGTTGACTTACTCAGAAGAGTTCAGTAGTAGCAATTCTTTTGTCTAACAAGGGTTCGGGGATAATGAAATCTTTATTTCAATTAAATGATTTTTAAGCTCTTTAATTTTTGATGGAAAATGTAAATTTTAGTGCAGAATGTTTCTTCCTTTAAATCTTTATTTTATCGTTATAAGGATGGTAAAAGTATCGTGCCTGATAGCACTGTGTTTTCTGTAAAGAATGGTCTCGGAGTTTATCAAGTGAGTTGCTATTTATAAATGAAATTTATGCAACTTTAATTTAAAAGAGTAAATGATTGTCCAAATTAACTGACTGAGGTTGTAAAAAATATGGATTTTAGGGTAAAGTAGTAGCGGTATTCAAAGATGTAACAGCAACAACTGAAGGCTTATACAAATGCATCAGTGAGGGTGTGGAGTCTGCTGAAGTCAATGTTTATGTTGGTAGGTGGTATTAAGTAATTATATGACGTTTAATAAATTAAAGACTATCTTATTAATCATTTGGTTGATATAACTTAAGAGGAAAGACAGCGTATTGGATCCAACTAAACAGAGTAAAACAGAATTCAGTCAGAAAACTACATATTTTGTTGAAAGTAAATTGTAGTAATGTTCGATTTTTCAGCAAATGGTAAGTGGAAAGAGGATGGCAAAATCTCAAGAAACGGCTGCAGTTAAACTAAGCTGCATCATATTTATTAATTCTCATATTTACCATGATCAAACTTGATGTTTTATATATCTATCAAGGCAGCGGTCTGTACATCGTACAATGCACCTGGTTGTTCAAGTATACTCTCTATCATTGTTAATATCTCGTTATCTCTCCCAGGAGAAGGGTTCGCTCCCTCATCCCCCCTGATGACGGTCCCAGACGGCCAGGTTGGGGTCCCAATGGATATGATGTGTGTTTCAGAGGGCTACCCTCCACCTACTATTGAGTGGATTATTTACACTAATCAGACGGTCGGGAATGTTACTGAAGTTGTGAAGGTACAACAAAGTTGTACATTTTATGCACATTTTATACAATAATAATAAAAGTCTCTGCAAGAAAAGCTATTTAGGATAATTTTTGCATACCAGTCATACTGCAGTTGAACTGATAGTTGAAATGATAGTTGAACTGATAGTTGAACTGATAGTTGAACTGATAGTTGAACTGATAGTTGAACTGATAGTTGAACTGATAGTTGAACTGATAGTTGAACTGATAGTTGAACTGATAGTTGAACTGATAGTTGAACTGATAGTTGAACTGATAGTTGAACTGATAGTTGAACTGATAGTTGAACTGATAGTTAACAGGGCTCTTTTTCTATTCGTACATGGAAAGGTGGATGTCACTAAATCTATTTAAAGAATATTTCTTCTTAGCAATAGCAACTTTAGTAGAGCCACCATTTAATTAATGACCACATAATTTATTAAAACTTGCTTATAAAATTAATTTTTTTAGGAGAAAACCAAAACTACTTCCAAAATAAACTGGATACCAAAGTATGAGGCATCCATGAAGATCTTTTGTAAAGCAACAAACGTGAACGGAACAACAACATCAAACACTGTCCTGAGGGTTCTAATGGCTGGTTAGTGATTAACTTTATGTAGCATGTGCTATATGGTTATTATGGTAACCATGGCAACCATACTATTATGGTTTCTTAGATACTGAAACTAATCTTGAATTTTATAATTTGACTTATTATTTTTGATGAAATAACAAAATATTACAGCTGGTTTGAAGTACAAATCGAAAGTTTCAAATAATTACATTTCCAACACTGTTCAGCGGCCGTGAAAGGCAAGAAAGATTCAGAACAGGCAGCTATCATAGCCGCTAGTGTGATTGGAGGTATAATCTTGCTGATGTGTATCTTCTTCCTGGTGGTGGGCATCTGCAAACATAGAAGAGCCACTAAACACGGTGAGACTTATGCAGTTATATACGCTAATCTAACTGCGTTTATAATATTTGAGAGTCAATCTGATCGTACACTGTTGAACCCCAGGTTACTGATTTAAATCAATATTTAAACAAGTTCCTCATAGTAGTAGAACAGCTGTTGAGAGGGCTCTAAAAAAGCAGTGCAATTAGATTTGTAATCGCACTTTTTGAAACAAAACCAGTGCGATTATGAAAATAATAAGTGGCTGTCAAATAGGTCAAAAGTGGAGTTATATACCTATATAATGAGGGGAGGGCCTAGTTCTTCTTGGTTAGAACTAGCCCGTTTCAAGGTGCCAGTAATATGGCCCAGGGATCGGTTTACCGAGCCAAGACCGTCCGTGCGTGGTGAAGAGCCACACCCTGCCCGAGGTGACCCTGCTAGACCGGAATGTCATTAAAGACCCGACTTCCTGCGTCAACTGAACACGGCGGATCTAGAGGAGCATACACCTCGAAAATAAAGCCGGGCACGTGGAGACCTGTGCTCGTGATTGTGCCTACTGATGAGGGTGTTAAATAGTGTCACACCCAGGTTGCCGTGGCGAGGTGCCTGGGCATTGTCTAGCCATTAGACAAAATCACACCTCTATTCTATGATGACACAGATTAATAGCACTAGGGTTCAAGCCCCTACCAACAACCCAGTAGTAGCCTGCTCTTTATATGACGGGTCCACCTTAAAACCCCCGGGAGGGGTGGGTCCTGATAGTCGTGGCAGTGCTGCTACTACCCATTTAGTACGTAGGAAAGTTCCTTTTCAAGTCAGCACGTTTAACACTAGGACTTTAAACCCCCTATCTAGGAAGCAGGAACTTGCACACTCAGCATTTCTACACCACAACGACATCATCTCCCTCCAAGAGCACCGCCAACACCACTCAGAATCTCTTAGAATCGAGAACATTTTGTCCTATCAGCTCATCACTTCCTCGGCCACTAAGAACTCAGTTAATGCCTCAGTTGGCGGTGTTGGTTTCCTCCTTTCCCCTCGCATCCAGAAGTCACTCCTTTCAGTGGAGAAAGTGAGCAGCAGGATCATTGTCATCCATGTTAATGGTAATCCACGACTATCAGTGGTATCATGCTACGCACCCACCAACTGCAGCGACATGGACGACAAGTCTTCTTTCTACAGTTCCCTCTCCAGGACCATCGCTAAAGTCCCACCTCACAACATGCTAGCTGTTAGCGGAGACTTCAACGCAAAGCTCAGCAGGGGTACTGGGTTCTCGTGTCATGACACCACCAATGACAACGGTGAACGTCTCTTGGACCTTATGGACGAGCACCAGCTATTTGCTGCCAACTCCCGTTTCCAGAAGCCAATCAGTAAGCTTTGGACCTACGAAGACCCCAAAAGGTCAAAGCATCAAATTGACTTCATTCTCTGGCGGAAGAAATGGACCAATAGTGTGAAGAACTGTCAGGCCTTCAACACCATGCAGACGGTCGGTTCCGATCACCGTATAGTCACCTGCTTTGTCCAAGCCAGTTACAGAGCAAACAGGACCCCGGCCAAAGACCCCCTTCGGAGTGTCGACTGGACCCCTCTTGTCCACGATCCCTGCTTAAAACATCAGTATGCAGTGGAAGTGAAGAACAGGTACAGCGCTCTCCTGCAAGAAGCAGAGCTCCAGTCTGACTATGACCTGATGGTTGATAGTGTCAAGACCACAGCTCTTCGAATACTTCCGAAGAAAAAGAAGAAGAAAAAGGGAAACCCATATAACGACCCTAATATTGCACACCATCGCAATATTCTCAAGACTGCATCTCTGGGTCATAGGACTTCTCCCTCCTTCTCATCTAAAGAAAAGCTCGAAGACGCCAAGAAGCAGCTGGACGAAGCATACAACACCGCTACTGCACAGTATGTCCAACAACAGACTGCATGTCTGGAGCAGACTAACCCTGAGCACAGGCATCGGAGCTCTTGGCGCATCATCAGAGAGCTAACGTCTCCTAACACCGTGCCCTATAGTAAAGTGCCTGGGGGCACCACCGAACAGCGGCTCAACGTTTGGTTTGAGCACTTCAAGTCGCTCCTCGGGACAGAGCAGCCACCCCCTGACCTCTCCTTGCCCTTCTACAACCAGAGAGTCTCGGACACCCTTCCCATTAGCTGTCTTCCTTTCTCCATGTCCGAACTCGATTCAGTCCTCAAGTCCATCAAGTCCTCCAAGTCACCAGGCCTAGATAGCATCCCTCCCTCAGTTTGGAAGCTTCCCCAACTTCGTGACGACCTCCTCAGTTTCTGCAACAGGGCCTTAATTGATGGAGTAATCCCTGAAGCCTGGACAACGGCATCTATTATACCCATCCCCAAGAAAGGCGACCTGACCAACCCCGGGAACTATCGAGGTATCTCATTGGCTCCGGTTGCAGCGAAAGTTTTCAACAAACTCATCCTCAACCGGATTTACCCATACCTGGATCCCCTACTGCGGCCAAACCAAAATGGCTTCCGCAGAGGAAGATCTACCCTCCCTCAGATACTTGCCCTACGACGCATCCTAGAAGAGTGTAAAATCGGAAATCGATCAGCAGCTATCGTGTTCGTCGACTTTTCGAAAGCATTCGACAGTATCAACAGGGATGCCTTGTTTCACATCCTCTCCCTCTACGGCGTCCCTGCTCCCATAACTGATGCTATCAGGCTCCTGTATGACTCATCGCACTCCAGAGTCAAAACCATTGACGGCCTTACAGACTTCTTTAGAACACTCATCGGGGTCCTTCAGGGTGATACACTCGCTCCTTTCCTCTTCATCATCGTCCTCGATTATGTCCTTAGGAACTGCATGACTCTTGACCATGGCCTAACCATCATCCCCAGGCAAAGTCGGAGAGTACCTGCGGTCAGAGTCACAGATCTTGACTTCGCTGACGACCTGGCCTTGACTGCCGATACCATAGAGCAAGTCCAGCAACTGCTCTCGGATTTAGAGACTGCAGCAGCACATGTCGGACTTGCGATGAATGCTTCCAAGACCG